CAAGATTCTTTGCTAGCGCGATATATATATATATATCTGATGAGTAATATTTTTTAAAAATTTAATTGACTACAAGGCTACATGATTAAGGTTGTCAAAATGACTCTTTGTTTGTGAACGGCTCGTGTTTGACTTGCTAATCAAACGAGCCGAACACGAACTGAGCCTGGACTCACTCGTGTTCGGCATATCTAAATAATTTATGAACATATCACACAATTCCTATCAAATTACATATCTAACATTTATTATTGGCAGACATATATTCATATTTACAACAGCTTGCTGTCATAAATCTATAAAAAAACAAAATATTTAATTATTAAAAAATTAATAAAAATAATATTTTTGATGTGATGTTAAAAATTTAAATGATATGAATGTAAATATTAAATTTTAAATTTTACATAGGTAAATAAATACATGAGAAAATGATTACAACTCAATGTAGGCTCAAACATTGGAACTCTAAGTAGAACTGAATCTTAACAAGTCGCATTCAAGTTCCCAAAATTCCATACTATCATATTGAAATTGCTATAAAACTTCTAGCCATATAATGTTTTTCTCCTCAAAGTTTGAATGATGGATTTATTACAGCATAATAAATTGAAATTGGATTAAAAAATTTGACAACAATTTTTGAAAAAGTTAACAATCAATAAATTCTCATAAATGAATAAAAATACTAAATAAATAACAATTTTATCATTAAATATTCACATTTGAATAGGGCTGTCGAAAAAGCTCGTTATTCGCGAACAGCTCGTGTTCAGCTCGTTAAGTAGCTTGTATTCGGCTTGTTTGTTAACGAACAAGTTTTTAAACCTCGAATTATAACCGAGCCGAACACAAACAACTCTCTGTTCGCTCGTGTTCGGCTCGTTTTATCTTGAAATCGCTTTATCTTGAAATTTAAAAAATATATAATTATTTATATAATAATATATTACATATATTATTTATATAATAATATATTATATATATATTTATATCTAAGCTTAAATCATAACATCTCGTGGTAATGTCGTTAGTGTTTTTTTTTTTATACATTTGGTACAGGATCGAATCCCACATTTTACATCTATTTTTTTCAATTTAATTTTTCCAAGCCAATTTTGAGCCGACACAAATATTTAAATCGAGCCGAACATGAAAACACTGTTCACGAGCCAATTTCGAACACGAGCTATTTCGAAAGAGCCGAACACGAGCCAAGTCTGGCCCTACATTTGAATGTTAAAAAGGTCCATTACATACCACAATATTTTTATTGATTTACATATTCATCAGATGAACATTTATACTATTTGTATGCCATTAAAATCTTTAACAATTTATAAAAAAATATCATCATTAGTAATTTTTCAATAGTGAAATACATATTGTCCTACATGTGTTTAGGATACAAAAATGTTATAAGTATAAATTCCAAACTTTATTTGTTATACATATAAATACAAAAGAATTGTTTGTTTATAGCTGAGCTCTAACTAATAGCTAAATTTCAGTTTATTCATAACGGAACTATATAAACTAAATTAAGCTCTGATTCGATCGGTTCAATATTATTGAAATTTTGATTGATCTGCTAAGTTACATTTATGTAAATTTATCTTAATTTATTGATTGAGATCTTTGTCTTTTAATTAAGAGGTCTTGAATTTAAAGTCTTCTATATATATATATAATATAGCAGACTAACGGTAGGAAGGCTTATTTTTCTTTATTTTTATAGAGGGCTCATTCCGAAAACACGGAGACAAACACAATTTAAAGCCCCACCACCCCTGCTGTTTTTGCTCCTCTACGATCTGAGAGCTCCAATGGCTGCTCCTCTCTCTTCGTGGCCATGGGAAAACCTTGGTTCATTCAAGGCAAGCAAAGCCCATCTCAACTCCATCTTCAACCTAAGCAAAGCCCATCTCAACTCCATCTTCAACCTACTTACTTTCAATCTTAACTCCATTTTTTTCCGCTTGCAGTATCTCCTCTATGGTCCTCTTGTCGCAAAGGTCATCAGTTCCAAAGTATGGGAGGGAGGAAAAGCAGAAGAAGTTTGGTGCCTTCATCTCCTCATCCTTTTTGCTCTCAGAGCTCTCATTTTTCAGCTATGGTGGACTTTCAGCAGCATGCTTTTTCTAACCAGGAAGAGACGCATCATCAAAGACGGAGTAGATTTCAAGCAAATCGACAAAGAATGGGACTGGTAAACTCATCTTGCTTTCTGGGACTATTGAAAAAGGTGCAATTTTTTATTTTATTTTTTTTGTCTCAGGGACAACTTTTTCATACCCCAAGCATTCATGTCAGCGCTGGCTTTCTACCTCTTTCCTTCTTTGAGAATGCTTCCTGTTTGGGAGCCCAAGGGTTTGTTGATAGCTCTTGTTCTTCATGTTGGTTTATCAGAGCCTCTCTTTTACTTTGCTCATAGGGCTTTTCATAGTGGATTGCTCTTTAACCATTACCACTCTCTCCACCACTCTTCTCCAGTGCCCAGCACGTTTACAGGTGCTTCTTCTTTAGTTTTCTTCACGATTGCTTTTTAAGGACTGAAGAAGGATAACCATAAGTTATGGTTTTTGTTGTTTTTCTCAGCTGGGCATGGGACGCCAGCAGAGTTTATGGTTATGAGTTTGGTGATGGGGCTGCCATTGATAGGAGCTAGCTTAATGGGAGCTGGTTCAGTTGGGCTTTTCTATGTCTATGTTCTGCTATTTGATTTCCTGAGGTGCATGGGACATTCTAATGTGGAGGTTTTCCCCAGTGGTTTTTTTGAAGCTTTTCCTGTGCTTAGATACCTGATCTACACTCCAACGTAAGTAAATCTTTTGCCTGTCTTTTTGGTTATTGGCTTGTTGTAGACTCGTCCATAGTTGTAAGGAATTACAAAATGATGCTTTGGTATTGACTCGTCCATAGTTGTAAGGAATTACAAAATGATGCTTTGGTATTGGATGAAGAAGTTTGTTAATGGAAAATGCTGCATTCAAAACAGATTTTCATTTCAATTGATTTCATATTAGTTGCTTGGCTGCTCATGTAATGCACTTTTTTAAATTGAAGAATTACTACCCTACTCTGTGTTCTGTGGTGATTTATCTGAGATAAAGTTGTTGTTTGTTGAATAATGGTGACAGTAAAGATGATCTTCGACTTTTTAGGGTTGTAGGAAGATTTCACGTACACAAATAAATTGAAAGTAATACACAAAAGATAAGATTTTATATATGGAGAACCCTATGAGCTAGGACATGGATACACTTGCACATGATCTGAGATGGACTCATTTGCTTTTGAAAATATAGTACACTGATAAACTTTTGACAGGACATTATAATAAATATATATATATATATATATATATATATATATATATATATATATATATGCTAATCACATTAATTAATTATTATGAAATAAATTAAAAAGATCTTAACATTATAAGAATGATAAAAAAATTATATGTAAGAGTGAAGAAAATATAAATGATTATCATGTTGTTCATAAATAAAGATAGTAGATAAATAAAAAGTAAAAATTTATGAAAAATATTAAGTACAAAAAATATAATAAGCAATCAAAATTTAACAAAAACTAAAACTGTATGATACCCAAAATTTTTTTAAGATATTGCTTAAAACAACATAAGTTATTTGATACAATATAAATCATCAAAATCTAATATTTATTTATACATTTTGATACTATTTGATAAATTGAATTTTTATTTTTAAGGACAAGCGTGCCCAATTATTTTTATTTTTATTATGTATAAGGCACTTGTCCGATGTGTGGCATGCATGTGTCGGTGTTTGATGCGTGCGAAGAGTGCACGGGTGTTTGTATTAAAGTGTCGGTGCATCATAGATTTGGAGGCTTCATCCAATTAAAATTTGTTTTAAGTTAAGGATTTCAGAATGACACTCTTTGTCCAAATTGGAGAAGATCTTAGATTCGATGGCCACCTATAGAGCACCAAAAAGAAGTTTGGCCAAGTCAAGAAAGCGATTCAGGCTCTTAGAAAGAAAAATAAAGGTAATTTAGATTTTTTATTGTATTAATATAAAAAAACTGGGCAAAACAAACTGATAAAGAATTTCTCTCCCATTTTCTTGAATTCCCACTATCCATTCAGTCTCTTCTCTTACATTTCTTGAGTTTGGTTGCAGCTAATACTTGAAAGTTAAAACCAGTTTTAGTCTAAACATTTTTCAAAAATTTTTTACGGATTTAAAATGATTTTGAAAACAGACCAGCATGAGAAAACTTTTGAGAAATTTATTTCCACACTTCTTAATAGCAAGTTTCTTTTGTGATATCTATATATGCCTTTAATAGCTTCCAATTATAATATGATTAGGGATAATTTATTGCCTATTTTTGAAGGAGAGACATTTTGATTGTGATACTTTTCTTCTTGCAGGTACCATAGCATTCATCACATTGAGAAGAACTCTAATTACTGCCTTTTTATGCCCTTATTTGATGCATTAGGTGGAACCATCAACACCAAATCTTGGTCCTTGCAGAAAGAAATAAGCTCAGGTATGCTATCACTCCGAAGTTCTTGAAAGTAAAAAAAAAAAAAAATTCTTATTAAGTACACTAAAAAAGTAAAAAATGCTTAATAACTATTCAATGATTTTTAAATTTTATAAATGTTTATGCATTACTACATTATAATTATATTTATAATACTCGTTTTTCTGCTAATGATTTTCTATCAAACTGTTGGAATGGAAAAGCTTTTAGGAAATGACAAAGGCTAAAAACACAACTTATGAAAGAAGCTTCACTCTTATTTATCACCTTTACTTTGCTTGATACAAACTCAAAGACTTCACCCCTATTTATACTAGTGACACCTCCTAAATTAATGGCTAGGATTGTGCCATCACAATTTCAATCCAATGGTTACAAATAATTCTATACCTACCACACAATAATTCAACATCTACCACACCTACTACACAATAATTTCATACCTACCACATATTCTAGAATAAGCTTCTAGAAATTAAGCTTTATTTAAACAAATAAAATCAAGTTTATATTTCAACTCCCCCTCTTAAACTTGATTTTGTGACTCCAAGCAAACTTCTCATTTTAATAAAGTCTTCACTCTTGAGTGGCTTGGTAAAAATATCTGCAACTTGGTCTTGAGACTTCACGTACTGCACTTGTATCTCCTTTATTTCGATGCATTCTCTGATGTAGTGATAACGCATATCAATGTGCTTGCTTCTATCATGAAAAACAGGATTCTTTGATAGCACGATTGCAGACTTGTTATCAATACGAATCTTAATCGCCTCTTCTTGTGGTAAACTTATCTCCTTTAATAAGTTTCGAAGCCAAATTGCATGACAAACACATGAGGTTGCAGCCACGTACTCTGCTTCGCAAGTAGAAAGAGTGACAATTGGTTGTTTCTTTGACATCCAAGTGAAAACAGTGTCTCCTATGAAGAACACGAACCCTGTAGTGCTCTTTCTATTATCCATATCTCCAGGCCAATCACTGTCGCTATATCCTACAAGCTTGAAATTGTTGGATGATGAGTAAAATAAGCCAAAATCAATTGTACCTTTGATATAGCGCATAATTCTTTTAGCAGTCTTCAGGTGGGTAACAGTCGGAGTCTCCATGTAGCGACTGACAAGTCCAACAGCATAAAGAATATCAGGTCTTGTACATATTAAGTAGCGCAAACTTCCAACCAAACTTTTGAAAAACGTTGGATCAATTCTTTTTCCCTCATCAAACTGTGATAGCTTGACTCCACATTCTACAGGGGTTTTTATAGATTTGACTATTCTCCATCTGTAGCGACTGACAAGTCCAACAGCATAAAGAATATCAGGTCTTGTACATATTAAGTAGCGCAAACTTCCAACCAAACTTTTGAAAAACGTTGGATCAATTCTTTTTCCCTCATCAAACTGTGATAGCTTGACTCCACATTCTACAGGGGTTTTTATAGATTTGACTATTCTCCATCTTAAATTTCTTCAATATCTCCCTTGCATAACCTTCTTGAGAGATGAAGATCCCATCTTCTGTTTGCTTGACTTCAATGCCAAGGTAGAATGTCATGAGCCCAATATCTGTCATTTCGAACTCCTTTGTCATCGCTTCTTTGAACTT